TATTTAAAGCTGACCAAGTGTGCTTATGTTTTCTAGTGACTAAAGTTCAATGAGAAAGAAAGAGAGGCAAACACCATTCAGTGAGTTAACTGCCAGCAGTGCAGACAGGGAAAGATAAGATCTATGTCCTCACTCTCAGGCAACCATCTGGCTAGAATTTCTTCAAGGCTGGATCCAGGAATCTAGGTCATGCCAGATCACCAGAGCCAGCAAGAGAGTGACCACAAACAGGGATGAGAGTTTGCAATAGAAACAGGCCCATCTTTCCCCAACACAGACTCATGGACAATGAAGACCCCATATTTCCTGATATTGGAGTTAGAATACAGAATTTTCACAGTGAAACTTTTCCAAAGCTGGTGTTTCTAATTAACCGTAAGCAAATCTCATAGTACACTCTCATTGGAATGTCTGATGTAAATTAAAACCCACCCCTCATGCTCATTGAAGGAAATAATTGTTAGAAATAAGCTAGTTTGTACTGTTACATATGATCCATGGACCTGCAGCATAAGCATCATTTGGAAACTTGTTAGAAATGCCAAGGCTTCAGTCCACAAATGAGAAACTCTACAGTGCTAAATTCTGTATTTTAAGACACCTTCAGACAACACAGATGCTGACCTGTTGTAAAATGAGAAGACACATACTTAATTTTGTGAACAAAGTACATAAGGAAGTGCCTCCTTTACATTCTGATAACTATGTATACTTCAGGGCAGAAGAAGTCACAAGAGATGCTTTTTTTATGTGAAATAAAAAGGGTGCTGGGACACTAAGGACAAGAATAAAAGGGGCTGAACAATAAAGTACTGTTTTGTCCTTTCTCGTACCAAAGACAAACATCAATCTAACAGGAGTTGATGCAGCATATCTTACAACCAGCTGTTGTCAAAGAGGAAAGAGACTGGAAAGGAAAAGAGAGGAATATGCAGTTGGGGTGGAGACAGAGCTGGCCACTGGGAGAACACTAGATGTTGGATTTTCCTGCTCCCCTTGTAGCATATTAACCTGACTCTTGACTTAAATGAAATGCCTAGTGATCCAGCGTGGCTCTCGTCTGGGAGGGGGAAGAGGTACCAGAGTTAAAAGTTGGCTCCAACATACCCTGCACACCCTGTGAATCCAAGGTTGACCATGGGCAAGGCAAATGCCTTACCTGTTCTATTGCTTAAGTTCAACATCTTTCTACTATATTAACACCGTGCTAAATCTATCTCCGAGTTTCCCGTCACTACCATTTCCAGCACTTAAACTACGAGTATACAGCAAAACTTGAATTGGTTATGATTCATTGACAAGATGCCCAAAATGTCCATTTACTAAGCTTCTACCTTTATTTTCTGGATTTTGTTCCCTTTTCCATACAAAAGTCTTTGTCAAATGTAGCCTTATAGTCTGTCCTTCTAAACTAAGATGAATGCAATCAATGAATTAAATTATATTTAATTCATTGAATACATCCAGTTGGATTGAAGAGGAGTTAGATTGTAATTGGATTGGAGTGGAGTTAGCAAAAAAATCCTAATAGATTCCTAAATTCCATCTTCCGTCTTTCTTACTTTTCTTGCCCCCTCTACCATATCAGTCCATTAATGAAAAAAAATAATTCTAGGGCACCTATCAGAAGTCAAAGGACCTCTTTTGCTCCCCTTTTGATATCCCACCTAAGATGAGGTAGGTGGAGAGGCGGTGTTGATGTCTGGAGGAAAAATTGAAAAAATGTCCTCAGGTTTAGCTCCATTATCTCCATCCTGGTCTGCCATGTTATATTTATAAATATGTTTGCTGTTGAGTTTTATCTTTCAATATTTTACTAAGGATCTTGTAAACTTCCTCATCTTCTTTTTGTGTGTTTTGTTTTGTTTTTCATTTTATTAGTTTTTTTAATTGAATCACTGTGAGCTACAGTTACAGAACTTTCATGTTTGAGTTTCAGTCATACAATAATTGAACACACATCCCTCCACCAGTGTACATTTTCTACCACCAATGTCCCCTGTCCCCAGTCGACCCCCTATCCCTTTCCAGTCCTTCCCCTGCCTCTATGGCAGACAATTTCCCTCTTTCTCTCTAGTTTGTGGCATTATGGTTTGCAATACAGATACTGAGAGGCTATCATGTTTGGTCCTTTATCTACTTTCAGCACATATCTCCCATTCCCAAGCCATCCCTCCAACCGTCATTGACTTAGTGAGAACTTTCACATCTTCTATCAGTCCAATGTAATGAAGAAAAATTGGAACCCAATCACTATCACACAAAAGCTCCCTAGACTTAGTAAGAAGGGAAATGGGGCAAACCAAGCCAAAGTTAGAATCAGTGTATTGCTGATTCTAACTTGCAAGAAATGAACTGAGAGTTAATACTTTCTGTCACACTACTTGAAAGCAAATAATTGTGCAATTCATTTTTTAATTATAATTAGAAGGTCTACAAAAGGACACTGAGTGATTTGAAGCCCCATAAAGGAGACCTCGAAGGTTCTAAGGTCAGGGACAACTTCAGGGGAAATCTAACTTGAACACGATCCACAGAGCAATTGGTGTGCAGGGTCACACATTCAAACCACACTTCCTGGGTGCTGTCACTGACCTGCACAGTAAAACATACAGTTCCTAAGCGCACTGCAGTCACCGGACTCTCTCAGGCCCCCTGGCACAGTCTTAGCTGCTCCATCTTGAAAGCACCACATACAGTGTATGCAGAGGTGAAGTAAAACCACCATTAAAGGTGTCATAAATGCAAGAGACAGAGACATCAAGAAAGGGAAAGAGTTTAAAAGAAGCATACAGCAGCTATTGAACACCAACCCCACACCAGATTTTTTGCCACCATGATTGTTCCTCAGAATTAACTCTTGCTCTTATTTCATAGATGAGGACAGTGGTGTGCACAGAGGTTGTGGGACTTACCTAATCCTCAATCATAAAAAGGAAGGACTGAGGTTCACATTTGATAAGGACTCTGCTTCTTTTTAGCAATGGAGAGAGCAAGTGGTATACTTTGATTTTGTTGGGGCGGGGGCAGAGGGGGCTGAGGGTCATACCTACCTGGGGATCAAACCAGGATCATCATCCACATGTAAGTCAAGAACCTTAACCCCTGAATGTCTCTTTGACTCTGAATATGTGGTACCTTGGAAGAGCCAGGTGCTTTTTACACACACTGTCCATAAACTCTCACTGAGACATCTGGGTATGTTTGCAAATATCCTGTTCTCTCACTAACTCCCCACTCCCTTCCCTGCCCAAGGAGAAGAGACTGTTCTGGAAGGCATTCCCCAGCAACTCAGTGCTCCTTCCACTTTCCAGGCATTTCCTGTTTTAAATCATCATTGCCTCTGGGTTGATGGGAAATCAGCATTGGGCAGTCAAGACCCTCTGCAGAGATTTCCTTAAGGAATTAAAAGCCAGTGTTTGAGTGGGTGAGCCAAATCACAACTTATGCTTTCCAAAAACCCTCACCAGGCTTTCCACAGTGGCCAGGAAGTGGAGGCAGATGAAAATGACGGTTTGAAACTCCTTAAGGCCTTGGCTTCTGCCTCTTCAATTAATTTAATGTGGTTCTTTTCCATGATTGGAGTCTGCCTCCTGGCTGATGTCAAGAGCCTCAAGTCTATAGCCAGGTTTGTGCAAAATGTAAGAGCTTTTCAAATAATGGTAGCCCAAGGGATAATCTTGGGACTGGAGTCTGAATGAGGTTCCAGAATAATCATCATTTGCATCAAAGGGGTTTATGTTTCTTGGAAGGGACTTAATATCAGGCAGGTAGCCTGACTAAAATATTAGCAGGTCCCCAAGCTAAATTATTACTGAGCAGCAAGTGATCTGCACCCCCTTGACTCTGAGACCAGGAGCTATGTAATGAGCTTTGTATTTACCAGAAAACCTCTAAGGGGAAGGACTTTAGGTAAAAACCCGAAAGTCTGAAAATAAGTTTGGAATGAGAAGAGAAAGCCCCTCCCCATGTACACACGGAACAAAGACAAAAGAGTCACAGTAGATAATGACCGAATTGCCTTGTAAAAGACTCAAAACTCAATAGAGTAGAAGAGCTTTCCTTTTATGAATGGGTGTTGCAACAAGGGACTGAGTGAGAAGTTGCTCACTGCCTCCAGCTGTCTTCCTTCTCTGCCCACTTATCCTCTCATTGGTGAGAGTGGGTCCCCATTGCTTGCCCAGCCACAATCCTGCTCTTCAATCCTGATGAGGCCACAGGATGCGCTCTTGGAATATTGTTAGGAAAATCTTTATACACTATCAATAATCAGGATCCTGAAATAAATTCCTGGCTATCTCTTCTTTGATGGCTCAATTGGGATTGACCTCTTTGGCGATGACACCCTCATTCCATAGGTACCAGTTGGGACTAGTAACAGTTCAGGGGACTGGCAACAACTTGAACATGCATACCTGACCAACCTCTGCAGCACCATCCTGACTTCTGTTGTACATAAATCTTTGTTAAATGTGTGAATATTTGGATTGTGAATAAATGATGTGTTGTAGAAATGACTGAAAGAATACACGAGGGAATAAATTTGTGGTAATAGATAAAAATGTTGTCTGGGGGGCTGGAGCGATAGCACAGCAGGTAGGGCATTTGCCTTGCATGCGGCCAACCTGAGTTGGATTCCCAGCATCCCATATGGTCCCCTGAGCACCGCCAGGTGTAATTTCTGAATGTAGAGCCAGGAGTAACCACTCTGCATCACCGGGTGTGACCCAAAAAGAAAAAGAATGTTGTCTGAGCAGCACTGTTTTCTTTATACAAAACTATAGCAGGAACCCTAAGTCTAAGAATGGAGGCCTGGGCCAAGATCACGCTCCAGCTGAGCTTCTCTGCTCTGACAGCAGCATCACAATGCTTGGCCTGCCCTGCTTGTTCCCTTCACTAATCACGGGTAATAATCATGACCAAACAATGAACTCATCTCTTGGAAAGTAAGTCCCTGAAGACTTTTGCTAATCTATTCTCTTTTCCTTCTCTCTTTTCAGATTATAAAGGAGGTCCCTCCACCACCTGTGGAAGAAAGCGAGGTGAGTGGCACAGGGACAGCCATGTGGATGGGGTGGGGCGGGGAAGGTAGCTGAATGGGCTAGCCTGAGACTCAGGCCCTGCCAAGCAGAGCTAAGTGAGGCCCAGCTTCCTAATGCATATGATGCAGCAGTCAAGGAAGTCTTCTCCCCTTTGCAAACTCAAAATGAACAGGAAATGAATTGTCCCAGCAGCCAGGTGATATCCCTCCCCAAAGGCTTCCTTCCCTACTTTACCAAGACAATTATTTATAGCTGCAGGGGGCTGATCTCAAGGAGACACTTCAGGGATCTCCTTTTTCTGCAGAACCTAAAAGCTTTGTGTGTGTAGATCAGGACAAGTTTACCACCTTCTTCAAACAATCAATATTTCTAGGAATACCTGATACAGATGTATTCCATTTTTTCTTTCATATAATGTTACCCCAAAATTCACCAGATAATAATGAAAATATAGAGTGGCTAGAGCATGGGGAGTATATTAATACCTGTGCCTTAATCCTCAAGCCCTCATCATTTGAAAGGGAAACACTTGAACTCTAGTACTAAATTGGCCAGCAAGCTGTGCTGTGCAGGTGTGGTCTGGCACGGAATACAGTGGAGGCATTAAAGGCCAGTGGTGAAAAGGATCATCCATGGTCAGGAAGGCATTGTCAGTGACTTTCCAAATCCTCAGATAATTCTAGGGTTTGTTTGGCTTCCCTGGATGCAGTATTCACCAAGTTAGGAGCCAAGATACAGGTCTGAAAAATGTAGCAAGACTAAAAGATACTGATGGGATTTCAAGTTCATTGTCCTCAATCCCTAAGTTGTGTTGTGGTGTTGTGTTCAAGCCAAGCACCACCCCCTCACTATTTCTTTTCCCAATGCCTCTGTCAAGTTTCCTACGTACAGAAATAATAATGATTAAATTTAAAGTTCCATGTGGCTCTTATATCCTGAACCAAGTGCATGTAAGCCAAGGGATTTAATGGCTGCAATCAATTAAAGCACATCTTGTTGGAATGCCAACTTTCTGCCCAGGAATCAAAAAGGGAAATTACATTGCTATGCAGAGGAGGAAAAGAAGCTTTTTCATCCACAAAAACCTGTATTTATCCTTCAAGAGAAAGCAGTACCACAAGTTTCACTTGGGTTATTTCCATTGTGAGCAGTTGTCAGTTGTCCTCCCAAAGAATGATTGGATAAGAAGAATGCCCTTAAGGAGGTGCTCTCTGGGTTCTGGAATGAATATTCCCTTCTCTTCTTAGCTTCAACTATACAAGTTTTTGCTCTTTCTTCTGAAGTTGGATCTGCTTTTGTCTTTGGAAGGTTCAGTGGCAACCACCTTGGCAAAGTATGTATAGGGCCTTAGGTATAAGACTAAGTGGGGTCTGGTTCGCCCCAGATCCCAGCTTCTAGCATAGGACTCCACATAGAGATCAAGCACAATAAGTTTGTAAACTAAGCACAATTTTGGAGGGAGGGGAAAAAAATGCCCACACCATCAAACCACCAAGAAAGAAGAATTAAAAGCAAGAAAGAACATAGCTGAGTTTTTCCAGTTTCATCTGTCATCTATTAAAAGGTTGTTTGTTCACCTGAAGAAGGCCAGTTTGGTTTCTAAAAAAAAAAGTGACAACCTGAGGATATCTGAGATCCAAAGGATTGTGTTAGACCTAAAGTTACTTCCAGGCTGGCAAGGGACAGGCTACAGGCTGAACTGATTACCTTAGCATGTGTGTTGGCCCTGAGAATTCTTGGCCCAGTGAGTGAGGCCGCCCTAATATCCTTTCTAATGTGTTTTGGCAGGGAACAAGAAAGAAAAAAATACCCAAAAAACATAAAATGTACATTATCCCATACAAAATGGTGTACATAATGCTCTAGGAATGAGTCTGAATTGAGACCACCTTCTTCACTCCATCTTCCTGTGTTCAAATCCCATCAACCTTTCAAAGCACAGCTCTTGTGTTACTGTCTCCACAAAACACACTGGCATTCCTTCCATCAGAAGTAATTTCTCTTCCTTCTCTGCTGTTCCATCTGGGTATTTTAATGATTCTTCTACGTCAAAGTTTTAGACCATTTGCTACTTTAGGGTTAGGATCTATGTCTAATTCATCTTTGATGCCTCCCCAAAGAGCTTAGCAGTGACTAATGTTCAATAACTACTAAGGTCAAAAACTTCCATATATATAAATAAGTCTGAACCTTCCAAACTTTCATCAGTCTCTATAAATATCATATTCTAAGGGAGTGTATCTATTATTTACACAATTAAGCTTGGAGGATGAATGCAACTTTATAATAAACTCCTAGTCATCCTGTATAATAGGAAATATGAAAATATATACAGAGGCATGACTTTGATATTCCAAGCAACCCACACACACACTGACATCCTGCAGAAAAAGACCCCCAAACTGCTTAAGATTCAAAATCTCAACAAAAACAAGGAAATTCAACTTTTAACAACTTTAAGAGCATTTCCTGTCGGCAGTGTGAGTATTTCTCAGTAGTTCTGTAGTTATTTCAAATAATTGGCAGTTAATGGGAGAATTCAGTTATAGGTGCTTCATCTGATGGTTTAGTTCTAAATACATACAAAATGTAGATTTGGGGGAAACATTTATCAGGGAGGGAAGATAGTGGAGACACTGACAGTGATGGGATGGATATCCCAGGAAGCATTTGACTTTGAATGAGTTACAAACATTATTATCATATTAATCGTATTAAAAAACAATTTCTCAGTGGCAAGAAACTGATGCTTAAAATCCCCCAGAGACACCACTTGCAGGATGCTATGTGCATAGGGACTTTCATGGAAAATTCCAAAGTAGGAGTGGGAGGGATAACCTAGAGGACTGAAATGCATGTCTGGCATGCACAGAACCCAGGTAGGATCCCTGGTAACATATGGGCTCCAGAGCACTGCTGGGTATAGCCCTAGTGAACCCCCACACCACTAGGTAGACCCCAAAGTAAATAAATAAAAATTAAAGCCAATAAAAGTACAGTGAGGTACAACATAAGGTAGCAAGCAACTAACTTTTAATAGAACATCAAGCAATCTCTTCTCTACTATCCTTGGTATTCCTACTGGCAGATTTTGGATAGCAGCTATGTTCCACTCTCCCCCACTCCTGACTGACTGAACACCCTACATTCCTTTTCCTTTCCTCCCACAAAACAATTTGGCTTATCCAGCCTGTCTTCTATAAGCATTAGGAGTCTGAGACTGGTGGTTCCCCCTCCATGCTACATCCTTGAAGGACACAGTGTGCGGGAAAAGAACCACCAAGTAGACATCATTGATTTAATGTGGCCTTCACTTCCACTGCTGCTAGTTTTCTTCGTGGAGTTGCTGGGAGCTGGGATTTTTTTTCACTCCATCCATTTTTAAGCAAATGGAAAGGCATCAAAAATTCCTTTCTCTTATGAAGATTGCAAAACCATCTTCTAAAATGTCTCTAGAATGAGTAAACAGAGCTTTGGCAATTGCAGGGAAATTCTGACAGTCTCGGTTGGTCATTCCCTGGGCCTTTGTGTTGCCTTTTGCTGTTATGGTGGTGGTTATTGTTTAGGTTTGGCAGACAAGCTTGAGTCAGGAGATTAAACAGCAGGTTTGGTGGATCGGAATCACGTGCAGCAGATTCGAGTCTTGACACTTCCTGTGGCAGGACTCCACCTGCTCAGGACACAGTCCTGGCCTAGCTTGGCACAGGGTGGGTTGGAATAAAGCCTTAGAGCTGGCAGCAAGTCCCGGGCAGATGCGAAGAGGACAGCTTGGTGTGCCACTGGAGGGGGAATCTTATCAAGCCATCAAGAAACCAGACCAGAACTTCAACTTCAGTGCTCTCTTCATTTCTTTTGCATCCAACTGTCCTCTTCTGTAAAATGAAAAACAAAACTATATAGTTACTAATTTTTTTCCTGCTGCTTAAAAAATTAAGAAATTCATAAGACCATTCCAGTTCCTAACTAAATGAGGTAGCTCTATTCTTCAACTGTCTGTCATGCTAAGTACTGCTTTGCACAGTTTTAGGTGGTAGTCTAATTTCAGTTATTTGGAAAAACTGTCCTAGACCATTACCCAGGCTTTTTGAAGGCATACTTTGCTCATGGCCAGTTAACACATATATCAGACTCCAGTGTTAAATGTAACACTAAAACTTCTTAGTTTGTCCTCATGAACCTTCTAAAATTAGATCATAAGGTAAAATTCTCTGAACTATAGTGTTTTCCTTTATTGAGTTTATTTGGTTTTATTTATTATTTTACCATGTTTCATATTCAGACATTGTCTAAATTAGTAAGCACAAAATGTAAGAAGTACAAAACTAGCATTTATGTGATGCCATCAAAACAGTGGAAAAGCAAAGTGCAAAGGCGCAAACCTAGAACTGCCAACTTGGAAAACCAAAGACAAGGAGGTGCCTGGCTCCAGTCCCACTCTACCATGTGCAAGTTGACTGACCTATGTTTCTGAACTTCAATCCTTCCTCTCTGAAATAAGAGAGGGGCCAGAGAGTACAGTGGGTAGGGTGCTTGCCTAGCATGCAACCAACTTGGGTTCTATCTCCACACCCACCAGAAGTGATTCCCAAGTGCAGAGCCACTGAGCAACACTGGGTATGGCCCCCAAACAATAAATAAATAAATAAACTAAATAATTGAATGCGTACAATAGCACCACTGCCACCCTGGCATCTGGAGACTGGTGGCAGTAGGGGATGGTGAAAGGGCTAATACAAATAAAGCTTTTTATGTGTGACTAGCACACATATAACAAAGGCAACATCAGTTCAACAGTTGAACTCAGTATATATTCACTGAACAACTACTGTGCATCATGCTTTGTGCAAGACACACAGAAGACAGGGTCAAAAGAACCCACCTACCTTCAGAGCTTCCAGTTCCAAAGTGAAGTTTTTAAAGAAAGAGACAGGCCCAAGTGTTGACTACTAGAAGCGGCAGGTCCTCTGAAAAGTCTACTGATCACTGCACTTTAAGCGATATTACATGTTTATGGTGTTGGGTTTTTATTTCTTTTGGGGGCCATACCCTGCAGTGTTCAGGGATTACTCCTAGCTCTGCACTCAGGAATTACTCCTGATGGTGCACAGGGGATCAGATGGGATGCTGGGGATCGAATCCTGGTTGGCCGCATGCAAGGCAAGCACCCTACCTGCTATACTATCGCACCAGCCCTAAATGCTTAAGATTTTTAATTAAAAAATATTTCTTAGAGAAGACTGCTCCTTCTCAGCACAACAAGTCTCCAGGGAATCTTGATATTTTAATTATAAGTGTTTTGTTTTGTTACCTCCGATTCTGCTTTCTTTTCTGCTGACTTGTCTCCTGCTTGGGAGGCCCCTTTCCACTTGGTGGTGTACCTCCATAGGATTCTCTGATTCCCCAAATGCCACCAACACAGGTCATGGGAGGTAGCCTTGTTCTGAACAATTTCTTCCCCTCTGGCTCTTGTTATTGCTTTGTAAACAGACGCCTTTCTCTACTTACAAGGGAAGGCATACCACACCCTTAACCCATAGGTTATTGTAAATGGTGATATTTTACTTCTCATTTTTCTCCCACAGCAAGAAATTTAAGATGAAGAACAGTTTTGTTAATTATCCTTCTATAAAAGTTCCTCTTGTTTCCTTTTTCCATCTTAAGATGTATAAGCACAAACTTCCTTTCACTGAGCTTAGCTGCAGACAGAGTTAACTGCTTTATTTAAATCGTCTCATGTAATTTATGTGTAAATTCAATAGATAATGCTTGGGCATCTGCCACATCTGAGGTGCCACTCTAAAAGTGGAGCATACAATGGCAGATATGACCAGTAAACACAAGCTTCCGTGGAACTCACATCCCAGCAAGGAGAGACAGAAAATAAATAAATGTTAAGCCTGATAATAACCGTAACTAAAAATAAAACACATTGATGGGCTGGAAAGACTGGGACTACTTTTAAAAGAATGTCCAGGGAAGACCTGTCCAAGGAGTGATAAGAAAGATCCATGAGAAACCCCAGGAAAAGTAATCCTGGACAAGGGAAGAACTCATGAACAGGTCACAACATAGTAATGTTTTCAGAGTCTTTGAGGGACAAAAGAAGGCAGCAAGCTGGAGCAGAGAGAGGAGGAGAAAGAAGGAGGTTGTTATCACAGAATCCAGAAGGGAAAACTCTCAATAACTCGGGACCATCATGTTGCTGGTGATGGTTACAGAGGTGCAGGTGGAAAAGTCCCAGATGTGGGATCCCTTAGACAGTCCCACATCAATAAAACTTTCTGGAAATTTTGAGAGGAGGTTGGAGAAAGGCAGTGGGGGAAGGAGAAAATCCAAGATGAATTTCAAGGTGGTGGGGTAATTACTAGAGGAGCAGGTGTGAGAACAGGAAATCTGCAGTTCTTTCTGGTCTGCAATTATTGAAATGTTTGTTAGTCCCCCGAGAGAAGAAATTAATATCAAGTCTGCCACTGGAGTTTAACGAAGTCAGGGAAGAAGACATAAAATCAGAATCCTCAGCCTGTGGATGGGATTTGATGGGCTACCATACAAAGTAGTTGGGTGCAGGATTGTCTGTACCCCACCCTCACCCAGGTGCAGTGTGTTTACCCAATCACTAATAGTAAAAAGAAGCATCTATAGTGATGTGAATTGCCCAGGGTAAATAGTGAGCCAGAGTTTCTCCCAGCAGAGTGCTCTTGTGCACTTGGCTATGTGGGATGGACTCAGTGGCTGTTGGGCTTGGCTTCCTTACATGGATCACAATTTCTCTGCAGGAAGAAGATGATGATGGTCTCCCGAAGAAAAAGTGGCCTACGGTTGATGCCTCTTATTATGGTGGGCGAGGCGTTGGAGGCATTAAAAGGATGGAGGTAAGAAGACAGCAGAAAGGCCAAGGATATAGCTATGTTGTAGAACCTCCCATGTCTAAGACCTCGGATTTGATCCCCTGCACCAGGAGAAAAAAGACAAAATATGTCTTTTTATGGGGTGACCCCTACCTAGCAGTGTTCAGGGATCACCCTCAGTGAAGTGCCCAGGAAACGAGAATTGAATATAAGTATATACTCCAGCCCTTTGAGCCATCTCCTATCTATATCATTTCTACTCAATGATGAAATCAAAGCAAAGTAGAAAAAACTCAGACTTGAAGTTTTGTAGGGCTATGGGCCATGAGGCATCAGAGGGAAGAGATGACAGGTACAGCCTTTGAACTGTAACACCCCATGTTGGGTCCATCGTAAGTCAGAGAAGTTCATTTCTCCACTTCTCATATCTACCCACATGGTTTCTTCGCTCAGAGAATCTGACACTCTTGTATGGGTGTGCAAGGCTGCTGTGTAAGCTGGCGCCACAGTCCACAGCCCCCACCCCCAGAGCTTATTTTCTCTGCACCTTCAACGCCCCCTCTTTCCCTTTGTCCAGCTTCTCCCCCCAAACCCAAAAGCATTGAGTTGGAGAACACTCAGGTGGCCCATCACAATTGTAATTGTGATCCCCCTTCATGTATTTTATTTTATTTTGCCATTTTGGGCTTATTTGATATTGTTTTACTTTAGGTTCGATGGGGAGAAAAAGGTTCCACAGAAGAAGGTGCCAAATTGGAAAAGGCAAAGAATGCAAGAGTCAAGATGCCAGAGCAGGAGTACGAATTCCCAGAACCTCGAAATCTCAACAACAACATGCGTCGGCCCTCATCTCCCCGGAAGTGGTACTCTCCCATCAAGGTGTGTCTTTTGCTATTCAAGCCCACGCCCAGTAGCACTTTCTAGTAAGAGTCAGAAATGTCTAAAATCATAGATTTGAAAGTACAAGGACATATTTCCGCAATCTCAGACTATCAAGGGAAGGAATAGGCTTTTTACAGTCTCTGGTAAAGTAGTGGAAAGAGAGCTAAGTGACTTGGATAGTATCCTCAGAGAAGCCTGAGAACCATTACAAATTCCCCTAGTACCCCATACTCCCATTGATAGGTGCTTCCACTGTCTAACAAAAATGGCAAAATTCTTTCTGATGCCTCATCTCTCTTCCCCTGGCCACAACTTAAGTCAATTCTTCTTTCTCTGAGCCTCCCACCAGAGTATCAGAATTTTTATTTGACAGTGATGCTGTCAGATTTTTTTGGCTATCGATCTAGAACTCATTCTTCCCAACTATGAGCAACACCTTATTCTCCCCCATCTCTTTTCCCTACACATCACCAGAGCCTAAACCTTTCATTCAGGCCAGGGAAATAATACAGGGGTCAAGAATGTTTTTCACATGCCTAAATACCCTGGCTCTATTCCTGGCCACCACCCCACAGACATTTCAGTGTATAATTCCTGAAGATTCCCCTCCCAACCCAGTCCCACAGGGTATGGCTCTGGTGGCTACTGAGCACCACTAGGATGGCCCTTTTGGTTCATGAATCACAGGGGCTGAGCAGCACTACATCCTCTGGCCCTAGCATTGAACCATCCAGCCCAGTTGGCTGAGTATCACCAAGAGTGGCCCTGGGTTCCCCTCCCCAGCATGATTTGAGAGGCTTTTCCCCCTCCCCCCCAAAAAAACTTAGTCTTTTTAAAAAAATTTTTATTGAATCACTGTGAGATATAGTCACAAATCTTTCATGATTGAATTTCAGTCATACATACATTAAACACCCGTCTCTCCTCCAGTGTGCATTTTCCACCACCAATGTCCTCAGTATCCCTTCCGCCACCCACACCTCACCCCACTCCCTGCCTCTGTGGCAGGAACTTTCCTTTTTGCTCTCTCTCTCTCTGCTTTAGGGCATTATGGTTTGCAATACAGATACTGAGAGGCCATCATGTTTGGTCCTTCCTTTGTCTACTTACAGCACACATCTTCCTTCCCAAGTGATCCCTCCAACAATCATTGACTTAATGGTCCCTTCTCTATCTCAGCTGCCTTCTCCCCCATGAGGCAGTAAAAGACTTTTTTGACTTAAGTTTAAGTGATGGGAGGCAACTGACAAATCTTGTGAACCCTTTGTTCTCTTCCTCTTTTATTGGGGGGAGCCATACCCAGCCGTGCTCAGGAGTCACTCTCAGCAGTGTGTTCACACAGCACTAGGATTGAATCTAGGCTTCCACATGCAAAGCATGTGCTGTAGCCTTTTGAGCCCTCTCCCTGGTCCCCATTCAACACTCTTGCCTTCTGACCTCGTCCATTAGATCCGCATTCTGCCAGTTGTCAGAGAGCACTAGAAAACTCTAACGGGAAAGATGTTGACATAATCTATCCCTACTACCTCATTTCATACAGGAAAACCTGAGGTAAGCAAAGTTCTTTCTCTGCCCAGCTTTGGAACCCAAGTCTCCAGTTCAGGTGTCCAGCCACTGGTGCACACTGCAAGCAGAGCTGGGCCAGCTCCAAAGCATTAAGGGAAAGGCTCCATCTCAGAGCCAGCTCTTAGCCCCATCCCCACCACACGCGTGCACACACAGCTTCCCTCTCTTCCAGTGACAACAAACATAATAGCCACCTTGCCTTGAGCAATATTCTAATTTCAGAGCAGCCCTACTCCTCTAAAAATCAAAGGAAAATACCAATTTTGACAGTGGCATGAAATCTCTCTGAGAGTTCTCTTTTCCCAGCTGAGCCAGCTCACGCTCGGGGTCTTTGCCATGCTTTTTCATTTTGATTTGCTGTGTTTAAAGTAGTGAGATTCTTTTTTACGATAAGTCCCCCCCTGGGGCAATGGGTTGAACTCTGGAAAGATGTGGGCGAAACATAACTTGCTTGACTACCAGCTGTTGGCTTCTAATTATTTTCTAATGCTCAACATGCAGTGTCGTGCTTGCCGAGTACAGACAGGAAGGAGCCAAGTGGAAGCTCCGAGATGAGAAAGAAAGGGAATTTTTCTATTATGTCGTTTTTGGGAATCTGTACCTTGTGAGTAATATGGCATCTTTGATGATGGGTGGTTTTTCATTTCTGTAGTCTCATATGTTGACAGCATTACTTCTGCAGGAGGAATTCAATTTCTGCTTGAGGGCACATTATTCTTCGATTAACGGGTGGTTTGGTGGTTTGAATTTTATGAAAGAAATATGAATCTGGGCAATGAGATTTAGAATTTGCAAAACCTGCCTGACATTGCGTTGGAACTGGAATCAATTTGATGAGAATTGTGTCCCATCTACGTGCTACGCACTCTCAGATAGTGCATTAGAAGTACTCAAACCCAGCTGAACATCAGAATCACTCAAATGAATTTTAAAAATATAGACTCTCAGGGATGATGCCTCAAACTTATCATAAGTGTCACACGTGGCTTTCACAGGCACACTGGCTCTTATAGTGCGCCCTCTTCTCCCGCAGCATGAAATTCCTTTAATCCCAAATCCTCTTTCCGAACTTCACATGCAAACTCCCTATGCAATCCCCATTGCCTCAAGTACCACTTCCTCTGTGGCCTTTGATGTTCTGCCTCCTTCTTAGCCTTTGTGTAAAACTTCTGGTTCTCAAAGTGTGGTCCCCATCCCAGCAACCGCAGCAGCTCCCCAGTGCTTGTTAGAAATGCACAGCTGGGGCTCCTACCCATCTCTATTCAGCAACTTTGGGGCTGAAGCCAGCGTTATGGGTTTTCACCAGCCCAGATAAGACATTGTCACAAAGGTTCTAGCCAGCATGAGGGAAGGAGCTCTGGTGCAAGGCAAAGATCATAATCATACTCAGTAAGGAGATCCTCCGTTTTACTACACACATGACTGCTGTGTTAGTGGCAAGCAGCTGGGAATCTGAGTGTCAGGGATTCCCCCAGAAAGCAAGATGGAAAAGCCCTGGGACACCGGTGAACTCGAGAGATGCCTGGCAGGATTCCCTTGCATGAATGTGAGAACACATACCCACTCAGCCTCTCGCTGGCCAGGTGCCCCTGGCCATTGCTGACTCAGCCTGCTCTGTAGGCAGGAGACAAGTGGGACCTGCTCCTCGGGTTTATGAGTCGCTCTCCACCAGAATTGACCCCCTGGAGGCACAGTTACACACAACTCATCTTCCGAGCACCAGTAAACAGCATGGCACCTCACCTGGCACAAAGTGGGGCCTCCCCATGTCTGGTTAACAAGCCAAGACATAGGGTGCAATTAAGAAACCACACCTAGAGCCCCGTGCCGGTGAGACCAGCTCCTGTGGCCCACACAGATCACTTTGTACTCTCAGCCCAAGGAAGGAGCATTCTTCTTGCCATCTCCTTGAGGAGAGAAGAAAAGGTCATTTTATGCATGCCTGGGTCAGTTGGATGAAGGAAAAAGAATTAGAATGGAATGGCTTGAGAATAAAAGCACAGAGAGTTTTAAAAATAAATGACAGTGATTGTCCAGAAGAAGAGGGGCAAATGAGCTGCTAGGACTTTAGTGTTCACACCAGAAAGAGCCCTGAGCTAGCCATGGGGCCGATCGACAGTTACCACGCTCTGCAGCATAACATTCAGCCTCATGCACAATATCATGAACTCTGTTTCCCTTTCCTGAAACCTCTGGCTAGATTTGTCAAAGCCCTGGCAGGAAACAGAAAACATTCTAAAGGCCTGAACTAATAGAGGTGTGAGCAGGGGACAGCAAGACCCTGGGAACTGTGACACATTTAGACATGGCAAGGAAGGGGAGATAAATGAGAGCTGTTCTGGAGCACTGCCACAGAGAAGGAGTTGGCCTTTGATATCAGCCCTGCCACTTGGGCCCCAAGCTAAGACTTTTTTCTCACATTTAAAAATTTGAATGACATTTATTTAGGCAACAGACAGGGGTTAGGAGTGCAACTTCACATCTCTGCAAAGTATATTTTGTCACAATCATCACCAAGATTTTTCTATTTTAAATGCTTTTGAAGGACCTATGTAATTCTCTTGAGTTCTGATTCTTGGTCTGCAAAACTTGAAATATTTACTCTCAGGCCCTGACAGGAAATGCTTTCAGATCCCTGTTCTTTGGAAATGTAGTCACTGTTGAGAGGGAGGGAGGGAGCAGGCAGGGAGCAGAGGAATAGATGCTCCATCCTCCCCCTCATCTTGTTCTCTCATCTTCTGGTGCTCCTAATTGGCCAGATCCAGGGAAAACCTGATATGACACTTAGTGGGTGTCAGGCTTCTTAGGCGGTGAGCAATGTGGGGGCTGGGAGGATGGGGTGGGCATTCAGGAGGAAGCTGAGATGGGAAATGTATAGAAAGTAATTCGTCCATTGTCTGCCCCCAGTTTCAACAAGAACACCTCCAGCTCCTGCAAAACTTTTAGGAAGCATTGAGATACCCCAGGTACCAGTGGAAAGACTCTCAATCAATTGCAACTCTAAACTTGTTGTGTAGGACTCACTTTTTCCCTGCATTCCACGAATTTGATTTGAGAAATGGTGAAGCAAGTGTGCACATTTGCTCATTACACCCAGAGAGAACTGATGGCCAGAAGGAGTCCACCAAGGGCTCTCTCCACTGTCCCCCAGGCTAATTAAAGGCATTGACCTCATCAACCACACTTCAGCCTTTCCTCATTCCATGCTCATGATCAGGATATTTGTCAATATTTTGCCCTCAGTTTTCCTTTTGCTCAGTTTTCACCCCCTTTGTCTCTCCTCCCCCACCCCGTCCCAGATTGACAGCACCCCGTGCTTCTCATTAAATTAGGAACTGACCATATCAGACAAGTTAAGTAATGTCCAGATGTATGGCCACAGATGGATTAAAAACAGAACTGTTTTCAGGTTGGCTGGAAGGCTTGCAGCC